TGAGAGGGAGTTCTGTGCCATGATGCTTGATCGCGCCAAGGATTTCACTAAAAAGACCAACCTGCCGCCTCTCTCCAAGGAACGCGAGGCTCTGCTTCGTCGGGCCTACGTGAACATGATCCTTGAAGGCGAAAAAGAGAAGAAAGATGAGCTGGCGGATATATTTGCCGAGACCCTTGCCGATGTGATTATTGAGCAGAATTTCGATGATATGACTCCGGAGCAAATCCGTAAGGCTGTCAAAGCCTATGCCGAGGAGAAGGCTAAGCCCAAGGAGGGTGAGACTGGCAAAGTTGAGATAATTCCGACGTGGATGAAGTTTCAATGAATTCGACTGATCCTCGGCATGAGTTCGTCCTGATCACCGATTTGGCTATAGAAGTCGCAGCGAAAGCAAATGAGGTAGCTATGCTTGAGAAACTCCACGACCAGATGGCAAAACCGACAAATTTAGAGGTCGCGGAAGGTAGGTGCCGACCGAGAAGAGAAAGAAGATGCTGCTTGATTTCTCGTTTCTATGTTTACAGTCTTAGTATTTTATGTTTAGTTGTTTAATCGGGGTATCAATATGTTGATGCCCTTAGTAGGCTACTTATGATGTGTTCCCGACTATTTGATGAAAAGAACAACTGTGTTTTGCTTTATTATTGCAAGTTGTCCTTTTTACTGTATTAATTTAGCAATTTTGAAACCAAGTGTGATAAACTCGGAAAGAGCATAAGGTCAATATCTCAACTTGGAATTAAACTTATAAAAATCAATAAGATGAATTGATTTTATAGTATGTTTTGAAAGAGTTAAGTTTAAAACCGAGCTATTTGATTTTGATGAAACTCATTTCCGAGAACGACTTGATCTGACAATGAATTCGGTGATAATGTCAACCGATTTGCAAGCTCTAGAGAACTTGCAATACTCGACACTGTTCACGTTATGTCCGAGTTTTCGAAAAAAAGGTCACCGAACTTCATCACGGTTCGATTATGGAACGACCTTAACCGAGTCAAATGTTCTCGGCTATCAATGAGGCCTGTCAAATCGTTTTTTTGTTGATTTAATGCAGACGAGCTTTAGCCTGACCAAATCAAACGTGGGATTTGGAGATTTTATAAGGCATCAGCTGAACCGAGTGTCAGCATGTATACATCGGTACCGAGTTGTTGCTCGGATTTAGGAGTGAACGTTTTGAATCTTATTACATCAAAAGAGTGTCTTCATTCCATCAAAATGCACAAGGAGAGTCTATCAAAAGGAATACGTATTACACGATCGTCGGTGGATTACTGATAAAACTTCTTCAGGAATACAACATTCCAAGGATACTGATGTGGAGTCCCATCAGGATTTTCACTTCGATATGCTCCATGGGGTAAGACTTGAACAATTTTAAAGGGTTTGTTCCACTTCGGTTTGAGTGGGCCAGGCTCAGGTCTAGTGATCCATTTGAGGACCAGATCTCAAACTCAGAACATACGAGGTCTAAGTTTTGAATTAATGTACCTATCGCTTCTCTGTTTATAAGCATCATTTTTTAGTTTGGCACAGGTGCGAAGTTCATCAAGTAAATCGAGATTTGCCTTCATATTTTCTAAGTTGGAGTCTTCGGTTTAATTTTAAATTCGGTAAGTCGGTGCACCGAGTTCAACAGGGACAACAACTTCTGAGCCATACGTTAATGAGAATGGGGTTTCGTCCGTAGCAGTCTTGCAGTTGTTCGATATGCCCATAAAACATGTGGCAGTTCCTCTGGCCATGCTCCTTTTGCGGCGTCAAGTCGGACTTTGAGACCGTTCTTTATGATCTTGTTGACGGCTTCGACCTGACTGTTTGATTGAGGATGATATGGTGAAGAGACAAAATGTTTTATCCCATATTCTTCACAAAGGGATTCGAGCTTATTGCCTTCAAATTGTTAGCCGTTGTGGGTGATGATGGAGTTCGGTACTCCAAATCGGCAGATGATCGACTTCCATATGAAATCGACTATTTTTTGCTGGGTAATGGTGGCCAATGGTTCAGCCTCGGCCCACTTGGTGAAATAATCGACGGCGACTACCACGAATCGAACACCACCTTTCCCGGTGGGTAGAGGACCAATTAGATCAATTCCCCACTTTGCAAAAGGCCAGGGACTATAAATCGACTCGAGTATTTCGGGAAATCGATGAGTGTTGGGTGCGAATACATGACACTTCGGACACTTACGAACCCATGTTGCAGCGTCCGCTTTCAAAGTTGGTCAATAGTATCCTTGTCGTAGAATTTTATATGACAAGGCTTGGGCACCAGGGTGCGTTCCGCAAATCCCCTCATGCAAATCTTCTAGGACATACCAGGATTCGGGTTCAGTTAAACATTTTAAGAGGGGAACCGAGTACCCTCTTTTATATAGGATTCCGCTAACCAGGGTTGAACCGGGCAGCTCGAATTCGGAGTGCCCGAGCTTCTTTGGGATCTCGGGTCAAGGCCCCAGTTTCTAAGTATTGAACAATTGGGTCCATCTACGTTGGGGGTTTTTGAGGCGTAGCCAAGCCAGTAGAAAGGACTTCGTGAGGATGTGTTGATGCTTGTTCCTGCTGCCCGACTTGAACGTATTCCACACTTTCCATTCGGGCGCTGGAGGCTAATCGTGACAGAGCGTCAGCTTAAACGTTAAGAGTTCGTGGAATGTGTTCGACTTGAGCGGAGAACTTCGATAATTTCTGCTTCGTCAGGGATAAGTACGGTACCAACCGAGGTTCCTTGATTTCGTATACTCTGTTTATTTGGTTCACAAGGAGTTGAGAATCAGAAAAGATTTTAAGATGCTGAATGTTTATTGACTCGGCTAAACTTAACCCAGACAGCATGGCCTCGTACTCGGCTTCATTATTAGTTGCCGAAAAAATAAAATTGATCGAGTGACAAAACAACTTGTTGTCGGATCAACCAGGACTATCCCTCTGCCAGCTCGGTTTGCTGTGGAAGACCCATCAATGTACAAGACTCTGGGCCAATCATCGTTTTGTGCTTCCACAGTTGCGTGAATTCAGTGAATTGGATAGAGCTTGCGCTTTGATTGCGGTCCTCAGTTGATAATGTAGGTCAAACTGACCGAGTTCCACAACCCATTTAACCATACGCCCCGATGTGTCGGGACTATGTAAGATCTGTCGTAATGGGTATGATGTACGGATAGTTATAGAGTACTCTTGAAAATATGGACGTAGTTTCCGAGCAGCAGTGATGAGTGCAAAGGCTAGTTTTTCCATTGGAGGATAGTGCAACTCGACATCATGTAGGGCTTTACTGACATAATAAACAGGCGACTGTTGTGTTCCTTCTTCTCGTATGAGGACAACACTGATCGCCGTGTCGCTAACTCCCAGATATAAATATAACATTTCCTCTAGAATCGGTTTTTGCAAAGTCGGTGGACACACGAGAGCTTCTTTGATGCTGATGAGAGATTATTGACATTCTTCAGTCCACTCAAAACGTTTTTCTTTCTTGATGGCTTCGAAAATAGGTTTGCAACGATCGGTTGATTTGAAGATGAACTGATTAAGTGCAGCAAGTCGGCCGATTAAGGCTTGAACACCTTTGACCGATGTTGGGGGAGTCAGATCTTGAATAGCTTTGATTTTGGCAGGATTAGCTTCAATACCTCATTGACTAACCATATATCCGAGGAATTTTCTGGATCCGACTCCAAAGGTACATTCTTTGGGATTTAAGACCATGGAGTAATCACGAAGAATATTGAACATTTCTTGAAGATGCATGACATGATCAGATGTGTTTACCGATTTGACGAGCATGTCATCAAGATAAACTTCCATGGTGTAATCAATTAAGTTGGCAAATATCTTGTTGACCAGACGCTGATAAGTGGCTACGGCATTCTTCAATCCGAAGGGCATCATGGTGTAACAGTAAAGACCTCGGGCGGAATAGAAAGAAGTATGTTCATAATCTTCAGGATCCATGGGAATTTTGTTGTACCCCGAGTAAGCATCCATGAAGCTCATCAGCTCACGACCCGAGGTGGCATCAACCATATAATCTATGTGAGGAAGTGGGTAACTATCTTTCGGGAAGACTTTATTGAAGTCCGAGAAGTCTATGCATAGTCGCCACAAGCCATTGCTCTTCTTAACAAGAACGAGATTTGACACCCAGGTCGGGTATTTGGCTTCCTTAATGAACTTGTTGTCGACGAGTTTTTTGACTTCCTCTTTTAGGGCCTTTTGACGATCTGGCCCCAGTTTTCTTCGTTTTTGAACAACGGGCTTGATGGTTCGATCAGGATTCAACTTGTGACTAGCAATTTCGGGGTCTATTTCTTTCATATCTTCGTGTTTCCATGCAAAGACGTGGGATTGTTTTTTAGAAATGTAGTACTTTTGGATCGAACGGGCTCCTGGAGGTGACTCCCAATACGCAGCGAATTTTGGCATGTCGGTTCATCAAACATAAATCAATTCTATCTCTTCTCCGGGTTCAGCCCGATCGTTTTGGCTCTTTTCCTTAAACTGAGTCCGGGGATCTAATTCATCTTCTTCTCTGACCGGCTCTTTCCCAGGTCGTCTACCTTTATCTTCTTCTAGATGATCCGAGGTGAGAGGTATCTCGGACTTAGAATTTGAAACCTCGGTCTACATTTTCTGAAGAGGCCAATGGTTACAAAATTTCTTTACCGATCGAAGTGGTTGACTGAACACTGGTAGATGGTGTAGGAATGATGAGTTCCCGAGCTTCTCTTTGATCCCCGCAATGGGTACCTTATTCGTGCGTCGTGGGAAATGTAAGTGCATAATGGAAGATAGATACAGTGGCTCGGAGGTTGTATAAGACGGTCCTCCCAATGATAGCATTATATTCATTATTGATGTCGAGGACTTTGAAGGTCTCCATGAAAAGTTCTGTTGCGTGTTCGGGTACACCAAATCGGATAGGTAGAGTGATCTCACCAATGGGTCAGGAGATACTTCCATTGAACCCTTGTATTTGATTGTTACAATGTTGAATATCAGCAGGATCGAGGCCCATTTTGTTAAAAGCTTTCAGCATCAAAATGCTTGAATAGGCCCCGGTGTCAACCATAACACGTTTAACATGAATTCCACATATCGGAACAGTGATGACTAAGGCATCAGAGTGAGGATGAGCAAAGAAGTTCACATCCTCTATGTTGAAGGTAATAGGACAATTTCGGGCATTAATCACATCTCGTAAGTCGATAGTGAAAACTTGTTTACCCGAATTGTGGGCCTGTCGAGCATAGGCTTTTATTTGATGTCGAAATGAAACAACTCTTGAATTGTTGGTATTCACTCGATAAACTATGACTTGTTTTGAACTCGGGGATCGGTCTCTCTTGGGTCTTCGGGAATTAATGATCAAGTCGGGGTTAAATGTACCCGAGGTTAATGCAAACACTTCTTTTTCCCCTTGTCGGATCTTTTTTGGAATAACACCTCGGTCGTCATCCTCGTCATCATCATACGACTCGACCTGACGTCCTGGTCCCGGTTTTCGGATGTCAAAATTTTGATAAAATTTTCTGAGTTGAGGATGACCAATTAGTCTCAGCAGGGTAGCTAACAAACTCAGGCACTCGTTGGTATTGTGCTTCGGTGACTTGTGGTAATCACAATATCGTGATTTGTCTAATTTATCCTCAGGTATTCTGACCGGTTTCGGTTCAGGCAAAATGCCCTTCCCTTTGATCTCTTCATAAATCGTAGCGACCCCAGCTGAGTAAACAGTTTGATATCCCGATTTCACATCATTGGCATACTTCTTTCGGGCCACCCTCACTTCGGAATCATTGGCGTCTCCCCTGGGAAAACCTCCGAAGTGAGATTTGTTTGACTTCCCGTTGAAAGACTTGATCTTCTTTTTATCGTCTCCCCTCGATTTGAGTTGTTTTGGAGCGAAGTTAAAATCAGAAACAGACATTGCTTCCTCGGCAATGATATGTTGCTGAGCTCGGGCAAAAAATTCTTGAAAAATATTAGGCTTATTCTGGCATAATGTCCATTGAAATATGGAATTCGGTTTCAATCCAGCAATTGCCATGACAAGCAAGGTTTCGGAATGGCAAGGTTCCATGTTTTGAACTCGGTCATTAAATCGGGCAAAATAGTCTTTGACACTTTCATCGTCTTTTTTTAGTTATATTAGCAAAGGATTCCTTCAGAACTGAACACACTTGGGCCCCAATAAAGTGACATCGGAAAGCCGACCATAATTGTTGCCACTTCCAAATAGAGTGAGGGGGTAAGGAGTGGTACCATTTTTGAGCCCAGGTCCCCAGAGTGAGAGAAAACATACGAGATTGGAGTGCGTTCGAGGCTCCATGAAGATCCATCCATGAGGTATAATGACCGAGATGAGAATCGAGATTTGAAGTCCCGTCATATAATACGATTTGCGGAACCTTGACTTTTCAAGGTACTGGCTCCGAGGTGAGTTCAGGTGCCAGGGAGAATCAGCCTCCAAATACACTTGTGTCGAGGTGGATGCCCGGCAAGGGGTAGCTTCTTGTGCTTTTTGCCGACTTTCTAATTCAATAATTATTCATCAAAACGCTTCCAGTTCGGAAGATTCTTGCCGAGCCGAGCAATTTCTTTCTATCATTTGACGAAGGTCCGGATGCACCGGATAAAAATGGGCTCGTGGTTGTACATGTGGGAGAGATTGCTGAGGTTGCCCAGACTGACTTTCAGCGGTTTCTTCACGAGGAATTACGAGAGGATCAAGAGTGGCTTCAGTATGGTGAGTAGGTTTTTCTAGTGCGGTTGTGACGTTCGGCTACGGGGTTGAGATGTTGCGTGTGAAGTAGCCCCATCACCGTCTCATCGTGGCGGTGGGATTTGCGGATTAACAGGTGTAGTAGGAATGACGGATTGTCCCAGAACAGTCGTTGACATTCCGGGTATGGTTTGGGCCATCAAGGTGGCAAAACCTCGTGCAAATTCTGGATTTTGAAACAAAGTAGCGTAATCATGCATGTTCGGCGCCGCTGCAAGGCGTCTGGAAGATTGAGCGGTGCTACAACGATGGCCGTCTCTCGATGCATGACCGCGATAATCTGACTGAGACATAGTTTACTGTAAAGATGCAGCTGTCTGAGAACTGGTCGAAGATTGACCTCAAAGCTCTTATGAGTGCCCTCCTTCTAGCGCCAAGCTGTTGTTGTGTGATTATTAACAACGTTTTTATATGAGATTAGCAAGGTGTTTAAATTGATGTGAATGTAAAGCATGCATCAAAACAAAGACAATGACCCCGGTCCGAGGTGAACCGAGGTGAAAGGTGTTCGTGCTTTCGGTATATATGAATAGTAAAGTTCGATCCTCATTCAAGAATTGGAATCTTATAATTATAGTATCCTTTTTTATAAAGGTCACTTTTTTATAAAGTAGCTTTTTGATGGGCGGCCATGTGAGTGCGACCCATTTGAATGATGAGGTATTCTGCGGTGTACGAGGGTGTCGTGTATGCACCTTGTCACCTACTTGGGTTTTGGCGACCTCGGTTTGGACTGTAGATCGGTGACGTAAGAAGACGTCCGATGGAATATTGTTGGTCGGCAAGTCAGTTATTGTGCGGAGGGAGCTGGGATTCAGTTCGAGTTTAAACCGGTGTGAGGGTTTAGTTCAATGTACCGACAATAGTCTGGTAAGCATATAGCTTTGTGTTGATAATACGGGTTACGAGGTCGGATGATAACACAGATAAGGTCATCACGATAGGATAAAAATAGGTAACATTTAGATTCGGTTTTCTGTCAAAAGTTCAAAATATCAACATGCCCAACCTCAATCAATTTGACATAACTAGAGATACAGACCAACTTTTAATGAGATTTCAAAACCAAAATGCATCCAATACGATTATCTACAACTTTGATGAAGACGATAATGACAAAAAATGATTTTATCAATGAGTTTAAACATAAAACATTCGGTTCATGAAATCTGTCAGAAACTAATTCATGTCACAAACAGCACCTCAGCATTTAGACTCTAATTTATGCTGCAGAGTTCATATCAGCATGCATCCTACCTCTTTAGAAAGCTAAAAAACACACCTATAACTTTCATGAAGATCACATTTCCATTTGAGCACACTAAAACATGATAAACAGGTCAAACATTCAATCTAACATGCTGTCGGGTTTCACAGAAAACTGCTTGCGCGATAATTTTGCAAAAATCATGACTCAGTCATTTTAAATCGAAATTACGTGATTCCAAAGCCCAGAGAAAGTCAACAGAAAATACTACATATCATATAGACCAGATTTTCATAAAACAAGTATTTATGGTCATTACAGCAGTACAACAGAACAACAAAATCACAATATTTCATGAACTTCATTTATATAATCCCAAATCCAAAGTAACTTTACGAAACCGCATCAAAGCATCATATAACTACCTTACGACGCATATGGCAAAGGAGATGGTCACTATCAGCATGTTCAATCAATCACTTCAACTCATTATTCATGTAACTCATACGATCATCACATAAACCGATTTATAGAACCCTAGTCATGCAATAATCATCAAATTCAATCATATCACTAATATCACATAAATAAACGAAAGTGGATTGATAAGAAACCTGATCGCGGCACAAAATGCCACTCCCGGTCGACGACTGGGGTTCTAATTCTCTGAGTAATCGCATACACTTGAGTTCAATAATAAGGGAAATCTAGAGTTCAACTTAAAATTTTCGAAATTCTTTCGTAAATCAATGGTGTTACACTTCACAAATTCATAAATCATCATCACATAAATCATACTCGCAAGTATCATAATCATAATTCAACGTTCAACCAACGGTGAATAAATCCAAAGTTCATCAAAATTCAAATGGGAACATCTCCCAATCCAATGTTTCAAAAACCCAGAGTTCGTAAACTATAAATCATAATTATCCAAAGTCATGCACCGTAAATCCTCAGTTTTCAATGCATATTAAAAACATGTGTTCATAATTACGTTAATAATCTAGAGTTCATAAATACATGCGGAATTTACTAAATGAGGCCAGGTGAAACAACCAGCCACCACTCGTCTTTGCTTCGTCATTCGACACACGCTTAACATGCATCCATGAAGAGCAGGTGGGAGTGAGCATAAATAGAAATCGTAGTGCTCACGACTATGCAGTAAACCTTAATCAATAATCATTAAGAACAGAAATCAGAAGACATAGCAGGTATGGTCGCAGTATGAACATAAATCAATTATTATCCCATCTCCTATCCTAGAGTCAACTCTCATGTGCACACCTATATCAATAGACTACTGCTGATACACGTATCGAATGCCCCTCGGGTCTTACAATCGATGCCCACTAGTAGGAGTAAATCCACCCCGAAGGCCCAGAACCTAGCCATCAGACTTACATCAGGGATCACCAGCCAAGGCTCACGCCCTGGCTGCCATACATAAATAAAGGAGATTAACCATTGGGCACGTTCTATAGCTACGGGTTCGATGGCCAGTACAGCTCACATCAAAGGCTACATGGTTCACATGCATACTTTGATCATACCACAAATAAAACATTTATAACATTTACAGCATAGGAAATTTCTGATAAAACCCACATGGATACCGGAATATAGCCAAACACAAGTAGTTGAAGGAATTATGCCAAAAGTTCAGCTCGATGAACCTACAACAATTACGATAGTCCTATCAATAGACTATACAACACAAAACAACGCACAAGGTAACACATACTTAGCCGAAACCATATCGACTAAGTGACTCGTGGATTCCTTAACAGAGATAAGTACTTGGAGTTGAAAACTAGACTCAAAACATCTCATATAAATCCAAAAAGATCACATATAACATGCAAAACATATGTCGGGTTGACAGGAATATCAAATAGTTCAAAAAACGGCTACAAAACTACCTACTAATGGTTTAGGAGTTAGGCTCCGGATATTAAGCTGACAATTTACCACATAACAGAGCACATAATATCACATATTTTCACCATGTTTCAGCCATTAGTTCATCCCGGAGCATTTGCAAATAATTTAAACAAAAACAATACCAAAATCCGAAGTTTAGTGTTCAAGCAGCTATACTTCGGACTTCAACTTGAAATTTTGATACAACAGAGACAATGCCAAAATGACACTCTCCTCAAAATTTCAGCACAAAAATCCAAGTATTCGATTTTATATGATTTTTAGAAGATTCTGACCGAAACTCATTTTCAGCAATTCGATAAGTTAAACTCCGAGATAAATTCAAGGACTTGGCATAATCGTGCAACATCCATAGAGGTACAACATTTAAAAAATTCAGCTCAAAAACACAACTACAAGATTATTAGTGATTTTATCAAGATTCAGCAGCATGCTCGGTTTAGAAAAATAATAACTCATAATATAAACATCGAAACGACTCCAAACCTGAACTAATAGCTCAAGGACTCTCCAAACTACTTAGAACTCCAGGATTTCCCACGAAAAACACAAGTACACTTCAGTTTCGACAATAAACCGAAGCAACAACTACACAATGATATACATATCATGCTAATTAATCAATAAATCACATATATATGTATCCAAATACATCGTAAAGAGCAATTAGGCACTTAATATAGCACAACTCATCAATATATTAGGGAGATGGGCCAATATATACCACAAAATTGTGAGACGGCACGAGAAGACGCGAAAATGGGGTCTCGGGCTCGCGGTAACGCACGCGGGACGCTGTCGGACCAGAAAAGGGCCTCGGCTGAGGCTAGAAGACTCTCGATTTTGGGACACCGGCACGATTCACTGCATTCCGTAGGCTTGCTGCTCACTACCTGGTCTGCTCAAGCCTTCCCGGCTAGAAGTCGAAGGTCCTAGAAGTTGCCGAATGACGGGCTGAATAAATCGATCGTCGACGGCTCGAAATCACCTAACAATGATCAGCGCTCAGAAGCATCCGCGGCCCGACGGAAATCGAGGTATCGTCGAAAGCCGAGGCTCGTCGGATTGAGCGTGCAAGCTGCTCGTCCGGAAGTGGGGGTGTGCTGAAAGTCTGCTGCTTGTCTCTCTCCCGGTAACCCGTTGTTGCTCGTTGGCTGAAAAGAGACCAACGGGGGTGCTGTTTCGGAGGGTCGTCGGCATGAATCGAACTCACAGAATCGGCCACTATTCACGTGGAAACCCATCACCCAAGTGCTGCGACGGTACCTACGCGAAGGAGGCGGCTGCTTGATGATTACCGGCGGAGGATGGCTCGTGAACGGCTTCTGCTCTCTGTGAAGGAATTCTGCTGAGGGCGTACGGCCGCTGCAGCTCGCGGTCATTCTCGGCGACCAGGGGTGCCGCTTGCCGGTAAGAGTCGCGCTGGTGGTTTGAAATTTCAAACAGGGCCCGATGGCTTGAAACTCCCGACTCATGCTAAGCTGTGGACGTTTGCCGGTGAGGGATTAAAGGCCGCGACGGGGTTCGCGATGGGGTTACGAGGGAGCTGGGATTTCCGATCAATTTGAAGAAGTTTAGATCGAATTCCATGG